CCAGAATGTCAACTAAATTGAAATAGATTATATATAATTACAAAAAACATTTATAAATATGTTTATATACGTGTATAAGTTATTTTCGTGTTAATTTATATGTTTATAAATATTTTTTAAAATAAGGTTGTTTCAGAGATTAATTTATATGTTTATAAATCTTTTTAAAAATAAGGGTGTTTCAGAGATTTTTAATCATCTTAAACAATTATTTAGAGAATCCGTTCCGCGTATTCAGATTTTGAAAAACACGATTAGGATGGATTTTCCGACGGTTCTCTAAAACTCATGTCATAATAGAAAGCAAAAAAAAGAGAAAAGACCACGGAGAAATGTGGAGAGCGTAAGAGAAGATGTCTGAAAAAGAAAAAAGTGAGAATGGATGACTCAAGGCCGAACAAGAGATGGTATGCAGAGTATCACAACGTTTAGGAAGTAGAAATTTGGTGGTGAGGTAGAGAGGAAAAACATAATGTTTAGTGAGATCTCCGGCCAAATGAAGACTGAAGATGAAGAGAATTCTGGTAAAGATTCGAAGAGAATAACCCTAAAGAGCCCGAGACTAAAACTCAAGGAAATGAGCTCTAATCTTGAGAAAAATGGGCTCAATGTAAATTTTTGCCAAAAGATCTGATCTATTTTTATAAAAAAGAGATAGTAGTATTTATAGACAGTTACCTGCCCCGACTTAGATATCAGGCTCCATGTCTTTAGTTCGGACGAGAATGGACTTCCGAGCTAGACTCGGAACAACGCGCTCGAGTGCTTTTTACCTAATTTTCTTGTTTTCATGCTCCACTTGGCCGACCGTACGACTATGCTATACTGCACATGACCATTCGTACTGTCAGCATCGTCTCACAGGGTGGATCAAGCTCGGGGATGCTCCGTCGGAATAAACTTCTTTATACTTTAATCGCTCTCTAAGTATAGACAACCTGTTTTTATCCTAGCATCTATAAGGTGAAAGTGTTTGATCCTTTGAATGAGAATTCAAACATAGATATTTAAAAGAATTTGAATTCTAGCATAGATATTTATAAAACAAAAAATCTCAAAGGTCTTCTTCTTTTTCACATCTTTCAAGTATTTCTTGCAATTTCTCTTCTAATGCCTATAACTATTACAATAATGGCACTTGTCTTCACCAGAAAAACCAGGTTTGAACCTAGGAGCAAGGCACACTTGCGCAGATTTTTAACCCA